GTTTTAGTGTTGCCTAGCTTTAATCCTAGCCCTTTCAATTGTCTTTGGCGGATTTACTTGAAGTTTAAACGTTCTGTCATGTAAAAGTGAGTGGTAGTAAACTACCCTTGCCATTGACTATTACATCAGTAGCAGCTAGCAGAAATTTTTAGTTAACATTCTTGTCGGCTCAAAGCCGAAAATGAGTCCACTTAATGGGCAACAGATTAGGTGCGCAGCACAACTGACTGCTGACACCTACACTTAAAAGTTCTTTCACGCTTAAGGTTTGTCTAAAAATTCAGTGTATATTGTTCACTTGTACTGACAACCCGCTACTGGTTATTGCTGAAAATAAAGAAAGAACTCAGTGCCCAGCAGGTAAAAGTTTACCTAAACCAGTAAATGAGGGTAATCGTCTACATTATTCGTTCTGTTACTAAAATTATTCAGACTATTTCGTTGACGGTGTGTAGCTCTGAAGCTATAAGAATGCCAAATAATGAACTAGAAATCTGCAGTAACAGTGGTGAGCCCCTTAGGAGAAGAAGACAATGCAGTCGATTTAATGGTCGAGACAACTGGTACCTGAATATTCCAAAAATTAGAGAAGTGCCAGGCAACTGAATTCCACAAAACTTTCTGAGTTATATAGGCGATGCAGAATTGTCTAAAAAATTCTTTTTGATAGATATTTACTGGGAATATATCATAGACCATGTTAAAAAGGTATGTTCAATGGCTAGTTTTATTTTTTTTGAAATGCAGTTTTGTTTAAATGTCAACCAAAACAGTCAAAAGTAAGGACAGCCGCTAATGTACTATAATTTATAGAGATATAAAATGCATGCTTATATCATCACAGGAAATAAATTTTGGTGAATAATTGGAGTTCATTTAGAACTGAATATTTCAAATATTGTTCATTCTTTTCCTCCTTATTTATTTATTTATTTATTTTTTCTTGTTTTCAGATTTCCTGCCGCTGTTTTTCAATTGATTCAATAATAAATCTTCATCACATTTTTGCAAAAGGAGAACAGAAAAAAAAAAAAAGAAGGAAAAATAAAGCGGGAAAAAAAAAAAAGAAGAAAAACTCACTAAACGTCTATTACTTTAGACGCTTCAGCAAAAACAAATCGATTGTTCTTTCTTGTTTTTTTTTTTTTTCCTTTTGCCTTACTTTGCCATCTAGTCTTTAAAATTAACAAGATTCAATTATGCAAAACTGTATAAAGTAGAACTAAATCAGCAAAAAAAGTTAAAAAAAAAGTGTTTGAGAAACTCTGCTGCAAATCTTCCCATTAATAAATAGAATGTCGAACAATTTTCTGCTGCTATATATTTTGGCTTAACAAAACAAACAGTCGTTGGCACATCGCCAGATAAAAATTGTTTTTTTTTTCTCATTTCTTCCTCGCTATCGATGCAGCGCCATTGTGGGTGCTTTGTGTAGAAGGCAGATTAAGTTCAACGGCAATAAATCATCACTCAAATATGCCGTGTTGGTGTGCTGTTTCAATCACAGATAGCACCGTAGCTTTTTTTTTTTTCTTATACTTTTTTTCTGCTCTAGCTTCATTGAATTAGATCGAGCTCTCATCAGCGTTTTTATTAAACCACTCTTGATGCTAAGCATGTATATATATATATATATATATATATATATATATAT